AAGCAGAATGCCTGTGCTTTGTGAGCCTTCTGATGATTGGTGTGCTGTCAAGTTTGAGATCTGAAGCTGTAAGAAATGTGTGGCGGAGAAGGCCTGGGCGTGCGTGCGTCCCCTTCTCTACCTGAAGGCAGAAGTCCCAGCAACCGAGGTCCTTTCCAGGCCATGGGGGACTGCTGCATATGTGGCTCCTGGGCCAGTGCAACCCACTGTCCTTAGGAAGCTCTTCCTTAATGAGTTTCCCTTCTGCCAGGGGTGGTATCCAGGGATGTTAGTTCCAGGATGCCCTGCAGATGCCCGGATCTATGGTGGTGCATACACGAGGTCCTGCGAAGGATCTATCTAAACTCATGTTAGCCATGCCCCTGACTAATACGAGTTTAGTCAGACTAAGCCTGACTCTGAGCCAGACTCTGCACCCTGACGAGATGCTCATACGCACCTTGAAGTCACTGAACTGGGGTTCAACTTAGCTGTGCAGAAAAGCGGGCAGAAAGTGCATGCGTGGGGGCGCACAGTGAATCGAGTACAGAGGCAGCTTCATGAAACAGTGCATCCAATAAGAAGGAGGGCTTCCGTTCCCATGGTGAGCAGGCGGAAGCAGGGAGCAGATGGACTGGGAGCAGGAAGCTGGACCAGGGTAGCGGTGGAAAACAGGAGGTGGGGGAGGACTTCCTTCTCCCAGGGCCCGCCTGGACCATCCCTGCTCCAAACATGACGTCAGCTTGTATTCCAGGGCTGCTCTGCCTGGGCTCCCTGATTCTCCTGCGCCCACTCTCGTGGAGTTTAAGGAGCCCTTGCTCTGAGTGCAACAGCCTTTTCCAGCTGCATCCTATTTGCAGGGTTCAACAGGAAGTGCTGTGGCTCGTGTCCTGAGTACCTGGTGGCTTTAGGTTTGGGCTGAAGATATTAGTTTGCAGTGCGTTCCTGTGAACCCTAGAGGACCCACACGTGCCCCCACCCCCAAAAGCACGTATATCAAATAAGCCATGGAAGTACAGAAAATGCCCATTTCTCCATTTGTCACTTTCAATGCATATCAGCGGGACCTGGGAGGGACAGAGGATGATGCTGGTGGGTAAGGATAGGCACACACTGTGTCCTGAAGACAGCATGGGGAAGGGTTTGGGGACGTACTGGATTGGAGCTGGACAGTAGCTACCCAAGCGAACATTTTGCCATTATTTCTTTACTAAACACCCCTGTATTCTTCCCAAGTTTGGGCAGCTGTGGTAGAAGGGGGCGCCCTGGGAAGGCTGAGTCCCTGTCCTCTGGTCTGTCCTGAGCTCTGGCTTGCAGGCCCCCTTGAGGGTCACCTTGAGCTTTCTGCTCAGCACAGGTGGCAGCAGGGAGAGGAAGGACAGAACGCAGTGGGGGACAAGGCCCCCTTTCTTAGCACTTTTACTCTCCCTGGGTCCTGCATAGCATTCTGCCTCACAGTAAGGAGCCACTATTCCTCGAGTGCCCTTTGGCTGCCTGGTGCCCTGTCAATCTAGGTGTTTCACTGTTGTTTTATGTGGCTATTCCTGAAGGCTGTTTTAGGAGTGGACATGGTTGTGCTTGCCCTGGGTATATCCAAACTGTTGTTTTGAATCAGTCTCTCCCTTTTCCTGTGGCTACCTATTCCTCCCCTGAAGCATCTCTGGGCTTTGGGATAGAACACAGAACTGCCCTGCAGGGGTAGTTCCCTAGAGAGCAACGGGTCTTGAAACCACACACAGGATCACACACATACAACACACACATCCGTGTGCATGCAACTGCAAGATTAGGTTCCACCTGTTGAATCTTAAGAAAAAAAAACCTGCACTTTACTGTTCAACTGGATCATAGTTATTCGCAACATCAGGGATCACATTTGTCCCTAAAGAAAGAGCAGGCAGTGGTGGTTGGGGGTGGCTTGTGTCCTGTGCATGGCCGTGTTTAGCAGTCTGGTGTTCTGTCCTCCTCTGAGGAAGCATCATGTCCTCTTGAGTCTCATGTAACTTCTCCAGCATGGTGTGCACCACCTCTTTAGCCTGAACGCCTTCCTCTTTGATGCTGAAGAGCAGAGAGAAGTGGCACCTGGATGTGTGGACTTGAACTCTGCCCCTTCTGCCCAGCATAACACTACCCTTCGCCATCCTCAGACTCTGAGACTTGAAAGCAGAAGTTATGGGACGAGTCACAAAGCTGCTACTGCTGCAGCTTGTCATGGATGTTTCTGGTCCTCCTCAGCCCTGCAGCGCAACGAGGTCTGGTAACTGGTAACTAACTGGTAACTGACAGGACATCCGTGACGTCACGGAGGAGGCAAGCCATCCTCATCGACAGTCAGCTCAAAGGACAAGCACCTTTAATACAGAAGACTTCATGCTCTCAGACCTTGTGGAAATCTAAGCAAAGCCAGGAGTAAGAAAAGTAACTCAGAGAAAAGAAAGTAGAGGAGGTAAAACACTTAGGAATTTACTGTTGATAATGAATCCAGGAAAGTGAAGTAAAAGCACACCTCCCTGTGCCCATCAGATTAGAAGCAGCAGCATTCTCCACATGCTGGGTGGGAGCCCGTGTGTGGCCGGCAGCCCCTCACGCTACCAGGCGTTCGGAATGGAGCAGCCTTTCTCCAGAGCAGCCTGATGGACTCCTCACATGCTCACATGCAGCTAACCTGACAAGTCACTTCCAGGGCTTGTCCCCGTGAAGCCTCCAGGCATGTGTCAAGAACCAGTGTGAAGCCACTTGCTTTCCTACTGTTGTTCATTCTGCACACTCAGATGGCTGGCCGTGGAGGAGACATCATAGCATGGAGTGAGTGTGGTCCTTAAGAACTGTGTTTTTAAAGAATATGAAGTGGTATCAGGGATACCCTCCAGATACAATCAACAGTGTGATCTCAACTTTATAAAGTAGAAAAAATGAGCACGTAAGATAAAACATCGGAGGAAATTCCAAAATGTCACTAAGTGATAGTATCACGGGTGACATTTATATTCTCCATATGTGATTTGTTTGGTGGGATCCAGAGAGAGGTGGAAAGAGAGTGCTTAACAGTCCTCTCCAAGCCATCAGTGCTCAAGGGCAGCTAAGCACAATGCACTGGGGCCTCTCGGTGTCTGTAGCTCAGTGGCCAAGTGAGCCACAGAGACAGACACACAGGCACAGTGGGTAGATGCTCTCTGAAGCAAAGCCTCTCAGCCTGGGCCAGCGTTGGCCCCTAGCATGGTGACGTGGTCTTCTGCTCAGGTTACCCCGATCTCACGTGTTTGGGTATTCAGCTCTGCTCTGTAGTTTCCTGATGGTGAGGACATGGGGTGAGGGTCTCTTTGCTATAGAGATTGAGAAATAGGCTGCTGAAGGTAGTTTGTATTTGACGAAGATGCTGTGTTGTTTCTCTTGGGCAGCATCGTCTCCAGGGCCAGCCGTGTGTGCTGAGAAGGTGCTTTGCTTTAACTGTGGTTCCCAGCAGTAAATGGCAAGTGGCCACTGGGATGGAAGGCATCTTGCTTCCCTTTGCATCCTTAGGTCACTTTCCAGGGCCCAGAGCCATCCTGCTCAGCAAAAAAGGTGAATCAGTGTTACATCTGGGAGCAATCTGTGGTCCCCTCTAGCTCCACACACCCGAGAGCTCCTAGGTTACGTGACCATCTACACAGACAGGCATTCTCACCAACCATGAGTGTTCAGAACATGCTAAGCAGGGCAGCTAAGCACAATGCATTGGGGCCCAGAACTGGATAGTGCTGGAGAGAAGCAAAGGAGAGGTGAGCCTTCTCTCTGAGCCAGGCCTCAAGCCCACTGACCCTTGGAGCTAGAGCTGGGGACCTGGATTAGAGGCCTGCAGGATGAATGGCCCAGCTGTTGGAGCTGGAGCTTGGGAACCCTGTTCCCAAGGGACCACACTGTCGTGTTTCTCTCTGTGCTGTCCAGTATCAGGCCCACCAGCTCCAATGACCGCTGAGCTCTTGAAATGAGGTCATGTTGACTAAGGATCTGGATTTAATTGTGATTGATTGACCATCACATTTAAATGCACATGGCCACGTGTGACCAGTGATCACCTGGGACAGTGCCCTGGCTGCCTGACTATCTCCCTTGGTGAACCCAGTCATTTCCCAGGCTCCCTCAAGCATCCCCCTGTCTCACCTTCCAGGCTTCCTTACCGAATGTTTTAATAGGAGTTGCTCAGGTAGCCTTGAGCTCCTGCTTAGGACACCATCCCCAACCAGAACAGAACCCCTTCTCATCCCTGGCCTGGGGTCTCTACCGCACCACATTTGTTTTCACACTAGTTTTCAAACTAAAGAAACACCTTCTACTCTTCTTCCCCATTGTTAAAGGGTTGAAAGTTGGCCAGGTGAGGTTTTACACAGAAGCTGATACTAGAAACAAATCCAGGAGGTCATCAGCACTGCACTGACCAGCTCCTCCCATGCACGCTGGCCACTTTGTCTCCAGCTGTCCCACACATCTCTCCTAGGGCTTCTCACACTCTAGACCTGGCCAGGGTCCCCAGCTGGACCTGGGCATGCTGTAGGTGGGCACCATTTGCTTCTTGGCCTTGGCCTGGGCTACCCCTTGCTGTGGCTATCACCAGCTCATGAGGCCAGTGGGTACTGGCCAAGGAGCTGACCCACGCTTGTGCCCTAGAAGATGTGGGCTAAAGGGAATGGGAGGAAGGGAGGAGATCAAGTGACTGAATTTAGGAGAGCGTGCTGATCTCCATGGCTTGCCCTGCACCAGCAGGTGGGAAGAAAGGTCACAGAGCCAGGTGCTCAGCTTTGTCCTGGTGAAGGGCACTTAGCAGCAGGGTCCTGCTTCCCGGCTGCGACCACAAAGGGCTCTGAAGAGTGGAGCCTGGAGCCAGAGGTTTGGTTTCAGCTTCCAGTAATTCATATGTTCTGAGTCGCAGCCCTGCCCCTTATTCCTCTAGCGGCACAGTTCTGAGAAGCTTGGCACTCTGGGCTGCTTGAGCTCGGGATGCCTCTGCCTGCTCATCAACATCTTTTATTCTCTTGAAATTTCAGGCACAGAAAAATGAGAGAGAGTCTATCAGACAGAAGCTGGCGCTCGGAAGCTGCTTCGATGACGGCCCAGGAATTTACACCAGCTGCAGCAGGAGCGGCAAGCCCAGCCTCTCCTCCCGGTGAGTGCCCTGGGTGGGTCCATCCAGACTGCAGTCTCCGCCCAGCTCCATATCAGCAGAAGCCCCTCATCCGGGCGGCTGTTTCCCACAGTGCTGGCATCCTTGGTTCTAGGCAGACCTTCCCCAGCTGCTGGTTGGTACTCTTGATGTCGCTCCTCGTGGTGCATTGCCCAGTGGCAGGAGGTCAGAGTTTTCTATTTCACTCCTGTAGACAGCACTGACCTTGCAGACTGATGCAGGGTCAAGCCACACTCGTGGGCATGCTGGCAAATGCCTAAGACAACAGGTGGCAGAGCACTAGAATCCCCAGAAGGCAGCCCCAAGGCACCCAGAACCACCCAGTACCTGTGATAGCAGCCAGCACTAGTGATAGACCTGCAACTCCTGCTTTGATCATCCGCAGTTCATCACTGTCTCAGCCTGTCCTCCAGGCGGTTTTCCTCTGTTACGCTATCCTTACCTGCTTATCATAATTTATTTCAGGATATGACTGGTAACTTGCATAACTTTTAATTCTAAATAAAGTGCGTGTAGATTATAGCTTATAGGGCAGAGCCTCTCCAACTCCAGTTGGCTCCCTCCACGAGTCCTCAGGCGCTGTGTCAGGGGGACATCTCAGATTCATTAGGTCTTAGTGGGGCCTGAGATTCTGTATTTCTAAGATGCTCGCAGTGGAGGTCCATGCTGACACTCCATAATCTACTCTGGTTAACAAAGAGGTAGACAGTCAACAAAATCATGCCAAATGCAGATATTCCAAGGGATGCAAGCACTTAGAACATGTTTCCAAGAAAGATGGTAACTGAAGACCCATCAGCGTTCCCTGACTCCCACCCCCAGTGTCTGCTTCTCTCAGTCTGCTTTTGGGCAAATGTATCCTGTGTAAACACCACATATATTTACCACCTGCAGCCAGAGCTGGAGGCAAATGAGAGTGTCCATGCCTTCATCCTGCCAACAGATTTCCGCTGTCTGCTTCATGTGAGGCCAGAACTGGGCGTCTTAATGTTGGCCTGTATTTATTTATTCATCTGGCTGTTAGTAGGCTAGGCTTGGTCCACAGAGAGCCATCTAACCCAGCAGAACCAGAATGTGGACATGCTCACTCCAGTGTGCGCTATCTAGGCCCTGCGGGCTATTATGCACGGGCAGGAGCTCTAGCTAGCTTCAAGGTGCAAAGGCATCTCCCTCACTGGGGTGTGTAGCCAGTCTCAAGACTGATAAAGAATGGTCCCACGTGTCACAGCAGAGCTGAGCCCTCAGGCTTCCCCAGGCCTTGGGGAATCTCTCCCCTCTGCAGGTGGGACATGACAGGGAGCGTCCAGCCCAGGAACCTGGAGACCTGCAGGTCCATCCCAGGCCGCTTCACCTTTGTTTGACACACCTCGTTTTCCCTCTTTTTTGTGAAAGGGGGATTGGACTGTACTGTATGCTGTACGTAGATCTCTGCTATTGCTGATGTCCCCAAAGTGCCAAAATGCCTTCACCTGGAAGCCCCGCCTGAATGCTCAGCAGCTGTTTGTAGAATCAAGCGTGTGCACACACGTATCTACAAGTGTGCATACGAGTGGTGCATGTATGACATAATACATTTACACTTAGGCGTAGATACACACAGGCACTTTCTCCCTTCTCCGGAAGTAATAACTTAATTCCTTGGCTGTTTCTTCTGCTATTTATCTCTAAAGAAAATGCTAAGCTTCTTAGTTTTTATCTTGAGTAACCATCTGATTTAAGAGCTGCCTGCTGTACAGGGTGACTGCTGTGTGGTTCGCCGAGGGACGGTACCTGTTGGTGGAGCTGCTCCTCTGCGGTGGCACCATGCTGTGTGTGGGCTGCTGTTGTGAGGGTACTACTGCTGCACCCCAGGGCTGTGGCCTGCTCCATGTGTAGGCCTTTCTTTGGTGTGGCCTGTGATTGAACCTGCTAGGAACGGGCTTGCTGAGGCCATTTCCAGCAAGGTCACCACGAGTGACCCTTCTTCCAGCAGCATGCCAGAGAGCCTGTGCACCGGGCCCTTCCGACGCTTGACACTCCAGCTGCTCTTAAATTGCTGTTGATTGGTTAGGTCTAAAATGTATACCACTGGATTTATTAGCTGTATTTTGTTTTCTCTTCTGGGAAATATCTGCTTGGGTCTTACATCTGGTGTTCTGTTGTATTCTTTGTGCTTTCTTACTGACTTCTGGAAGTTCTTTAGTCATCACACTAATCTTTAATACACTCTCCTTTCCAAAAGTCACTTCCCAAGTTGTGATTTGTTTTTCACTTCTTTAATGTGTGATTTATGACCATGAAGTCTTGATTTTTTTTTAGTACTGGGGATTAAATCAGAGGTGCTCTACGACTGAGCTACATCCCCAGTCCTTTTTATTTTGAGACAGAGTCTCACTAATTTGTTGAGGCTGGCCTGGAATTTGTGCTCCTCCTACCTCAGCCTCCTGAGTTTGAGGCTGAGGTAGGAGGCATGTGCCACCACAGTCAGCCATCCTTGATTTTAATACCGTTAATTACACCCAAATTTTATTTTCTAGGCAATGCTGTCAATATCTTGTACAAGAAATTTTCTTCTACCCTAAGATTCAGTAGATATTCACTACATTTTCTACCAAGACCTTTTAAAGCCTTGACTTTAAAAGTCTATAACCAATGGGGAGTTGATCTCTTGCTGTGGTATGGGAGAGAAGCCTAACCTCTCCTGTTGCCTCATATGGTCATCGTCTCATTGCCCTTATTTTCCTGCACCAAAGCTATGCTCTTAATCACCATAGCTTCAGAATAAATTCTGGCATCTGGACAGGCCAGTTCCTCTCCACATTCTTTTTCTTCAGAAGTACGTGCCTAATCTTGCTTTTCCATTCCTTCATATAAGTTCTGAATTATCCAATTAAGTTCAGCAAGATACTTTCTTAAGATCTTTGAGTCCAAGATCAACTTAGGAAGGATTATATTTTCACAATATTTAGTTCTCCTATCCATAAACATTGTCTGTCTCTCCATTTATTTAAATATTTTTTAATATTTCTTAAGTCTTGTAACTTTTCATTTGGAGAGACTGTGCATCTTTTTTTGTATTAATTCCTAGGCACTTGTTCTCTGATATCTCAGCAAGCATCACTTGCTGCTGGCATCAGAAATACAGCTACCTTTGTAGAAGCCCCCTGCCCAGCCACTTTGTGTTCCTGCTCCTGTTACTCAGCTTTCCTGTCAGTCCTAATAAAGCTGTCTGTAAAGTCTGGACTTTGGAAACAGTAGCACTGTGCATGCATCATGGCAGCCTTATTTGTTTACTTCTTTGTTTCTTTTGCTCTTGGTAGGAACTCCCATACAGCAAGGACTAGAAACAGTAGTATTTGGAATCTGCTATGGTTTGGATGTGAGTTCTTCCCCAAAGCTCCTATTGTTGCAGGAATAGTCAGAAGTGAAATGATTGGATTTGGGGAGCTGTAACTTCATTGGTCCACCCTGGCTTGAATGGACTTACTGGGTGCTTGCTGTAGGCACGTTGGGCATGACTGGAGAAGGTGAGTCACTGCCTTGAAAGGGTTCAGCTTCCATGTGGCTCCATTTCTCTTGCTCTCTCTGCTTCCTGATGGCTGTAACTGAGCAGCCTCTGTCTGCTGGTCCCTTCCCCCATGCTGTGCTGCTTCACCTTGGGCCCAGAGCAATGGAATTGGCCATCTATGGACTGAACCTCTGAAAAAGAAAATGAGCTTCAAGTAAACTTTTCCTCCTCTAAGTTGCTCTTGCCAAGTGTTTTGGTTACAGCTGACTAAAATAGAATTCTTAGCTCATTTCTCATGTTAAATGGAATAATTCTACTGTTTCTCCCCCCTTAGGATGATGTTAGTTTTATGTTTAATGTTTCTCCTTAATGATGTTTCCATCTATCAACAATTTTCAAAGAATTTTTATCAAATGGGTATTTAGCATCTGTTGAGATGATTTTATCATTCAGCTCTATCCAGATTGTACATATAGATTTTCAAAATATTAAACCATCTTTGCATACCTGATATAGACCTAAGTTTGTTTTAAGAGAGTTATCATTTTTTAGACACTATTGGATTTTATTTATTTTTTGTTTAGGATTGTTACATTTATATTCATGATTTACATGGATCTTTTGCATTCTTAGAACATTTTTGTCTGATTTTAGTATATGGGTGTAGTGGCTTAAGAAATGAGAGCTAGGCTCAGTGGCGCACACCTGTAATACCAGCAGCTGGCTGAGGTAGGAAGATCTCAGCCTCAGCAACCGTGAGGTGCTAAGCAACTCAGTGAGATCCTGTCTCTAAATAAAATACAAAATGGGTCTGGGGTTGTGGCTCAGTGGTTGAGTGCCCCTAAGTTCAATCACTGGTGTGTGTGTGTGTGTGTGTGTGTGTATGAGTTGAAACTGTGCCATCTTTCATACAGTCTATGACAAGTAGGCATAGATGTCACTCAGGCACTTCATTGCCACCTCTGCTGTGCTCAGGTATGCCCAGTCCAGAGCTCCTGTGATTCACCACTCAGGGCAGTGAACCTCCTGACTGCCCAGCCCCAGGAGGGCAGGGAAGGTGGCAGTTCTCCATGATACTCAGGGGCAGCCCTTCCTTGTGCTCAGTGCACCCCTGGCTTCAGATGCACCTGAGCATTTCCAGGGCTCCAGGGCACCTGCACGTGCTGGCTCCACCAGCCTCCTGCAGCCATGGTCAGGTTGGAGGTTGCATGTCAGAAATGGCTGTTGCATCTACCTTTCAACTTCTGTTTTCTTCCTGAACCCCACAGACTCTTTGTCGACATCCGTTGTTCTAAGTAGGATTTCAGAAGAGAGTCTGTTTTCTGTGTTCAGTGTGCTGTGGTTCAGTCTCATGAAGGCTTTCAATATCATCTCAAGTAAGCACCCTGCCAAACTCCAAGTGTGAGCAGAGCGTCTCCCTGGCAGAGCAGGACCAAGAGGGGGTTGGGGCACCTCACTACCCAGCACCTCCGCCCCACTTATCCTCCTTGTGCCA